GACAAATGAACAATATTAACAAATCAGTTGCACAGAGAAGAGGTAGGGTGCATTGTTTTCAATAAAATAGGCTACACAAAAAGAATATGACTAAAGTGCTATGGATATTAATAGCACGAACTACCTGGCCTTGCTATGAATTCAATAAGATGTACCTGGATTAGCAAAATTGATTTTAGGGCTTCAGTTTGACCTGACTTCTTCACACAACATACCAAACTACCAGGGACACCAAATATATTATTGATGAGAGTTTAGGAGCGTGTAATAGGTCTGCATAATTGATAAAATCTCAGCATAAGCTGGTCTTATGTGCTGTTGATGTTTCCAAATGTATGCTTGTTTTTATCCATGCATTCACCCCCCCCTCTCGAGCATCCTCCGTGCCCCCAAAAAGAAGACGCTCATTGTAATTCTTGAATCCTATTAGGATTGGCCCCAGAGTCGGCCTCTGCTTAGCAAATAAATAATGGTAATGATGATGATCCCTCATCTTGTCACTGGGGCTCTCCCCTGGGGGCCTCGCAGTGCAGGTGGAAGGGAGCCTCTCCTGGCCTAATTGGTTCCAACCCTGCAGTCTTCTCTCCAGCCTTTCTCCCTCCCTCCCTCCCTCCCTCTCTCTGGGCCTCGGGACTCACTCGGTAAACTTGTCTTTCTCTTTATGTGAGTGTGTGTCATCACCATGTTTAAATTATTTTTGCCATGAAATCACACCTTTACACCAGCCCTTTCTGTGTCTCTGTTCTAGTCTCCTTCTGCACACACAGATAGACAAGCTAAAAACACACACATAGACATCGACTGTACTGTACTGTGGTAACAGGCTGCCAATATCTTGCCACTCTGTTCCCCTGCGGTATCTTTTTGGCAGCTGGTGCATATAAACACCTCAAATTGTTTAATGGTGCCAGACAGGAAACAGTTTCCATCTCTTTACTGTTTGTCTAGCCCATAACTCTGACCCCTACCCTGCACTGAGCCTATCTCCACCGTAGCTCATTACATTTCCACTTTAAAAAGACACAGTTTCGTAACAGACAGGATTGGAAAGTCATTTTGAATGTATGAGTAATGGAGATTAATACTCGTACAAATCAGATTAGATAATTGAATTTTGGCGCCTCAATGAAAAATGGAGGGAAATAAAAGGGGTGTTATTCTGCAACAGTTATTAAAAGAATCATGTCAGTGCTTTAATCTAATGCTTCAGAGGTTCTGTCAGGAAATATCTGATTTGATTTTGATTTGATCACATCCACGCTATTGCACGCACACGCATGTCGCAAAAAATGAGACAGACAGAGAAAAGAGAGTAAAAAAAACTTTCTAAAAATAAATCCGGTCCCTAAGCTTTGTAAAAGGTCTAAAATGTTGTTTTTTTGGTTTGAGGACTGGGAAAAGAAGCGGCTTTAGCATTGGCCCATGGAAGAGACTTTCTATAACGTTTCTCTAAAAATCAATACCTTCTCTGCTAGGCAAAGAGGATCTCTAATATAGTTTTATGTTATTATTTTTCCTCACACATTGCTACATTTCTCAACGGCTGGCAGAGGGAAGATGGATTTTCTCTTCGACTGGATGCTAAATGTGATTCTGAATGTGGTGGGTCAATGAGATGATGCAGAGCCTGCACTCTTAAAAAGGGATGCGTTACTTTCTGCCCATCCATGAGTGCAGTTTGACACCTCACAAAGTTGAATTACTTTTCAGTGGCGTATAATGCTCTGCGAACATGTGCAGCAAATTACATGTCACATATTCAGGGAGATTTCAGTTAAGCATTGAAAATAACAAGCTGTGTGTGGCCTCAAACTGCACCCATGGGTGTGATACTTGACACCTAAGGATCACATATCAAGGAAAGGGGGGTTGTGGAACATTTAACTATAATTTAAATCCCTGAATTAAATACAAACTATGAATACAACCTATTGAATGTCTGCCTTTGATAGCATAGACAGAAAATCACCTGAATACTGTGGAAATATGAGATTATCACAAAATGAATTATCACCAGCAGCTCTGCACAGTTATTTACAACCACATGATAATTAGTATTAAAAATAACAATTTTCTTCCCTCTTGCAAGCCTGCGATCCTTCAGCCTGGACAGACTGCACATCAGCTTCACAACCCTTACACAGAATAAACACACAGGGTCCCTGTGGTGTGTGAAATTGGTTAAGTGAGAATTTCCGCACTCTATATCAGGTGCAACAGGGACCTCTGTTGGGTAACATCATCATTACATTTTATTACTGTGTCTCAGTACAACACATTGTAAATCAGTATGTAATATATGTGCTGCAATATGTTGGTTGTACACAGGAAAGCTCATTTTTTTATCCTCAATTTAAATTTAGAACAATCTTTTTGCGCCTTTACTTTTGATACTTCTTCTTGCTGGTTTTAAAAGTACCGAAATACATAATGTGTACCTGTTGCACCTGGCAATGTATTTAGTTTTGATTGCTGAACTAATACTTTTTCTGATGTCATGAATGTCCAGAAATATTACTGATTGCAGCCTAATAAGCCTTTTATTAAGCAATTGGTATTACAAGTCAAGGCCTTTATCTGCCCAAACATCTTTCTATCAGAGATAACACAATGTAGTAATCCTAACTTATGGAGCTTTACGTTTCAGTGGACATCTTTCCTGCTTTTCTAGCTACTTAATTTACATACATCTTTGGCATTCTGAAATCTCAGCTTAACAGGTCAGATTTGTGACCTTGACAAAGCAATCTCAACTCAAGCTCCAGCTGTGGCTGTTGCCATGGAAATGTGCATGTATTAACTTTCATACTGTTTCTGTGGTTTCAGTTCAGCTTTCAAGTCAATGTGGATGAGAAGACCTAGAGGTTCAGAATCATGCGAAGGTTTGAACATCTGCAGCAGGTTTCCATGGCAACGGAGCAAACTCAATTTGCACTTGGGGACCATGTGATGTGGTCGACAGTTTCAGAATAAACCAGAACATGAACCTCGAGTCCATCCATCAATCCATTATCTGTATCTTATCCTGTGCAGGGTCGCAAAGTACTGGAGCTCAAGTTGAGATTGTGAACTGTAAATAGAGGTTATGAAGGAGCCCTTTTTTACTTTCCAATGTTATTTATATGCCCTTTGTTTGATTTTAACCAGAGCAAATAAATAAAACTCAAAGTTTACCTGCAGTTAGACTCTAAGTTTTGCTCTTGATATGGTGTCTCCAATAAAAATGAAATTCTCTTGAATTGAACAGATACATATATATATACAGACACACATAAAATCATCCACCCACAGAAATCCACAAACGTTTTGAAAACCCTCCTCAGTATTGCCAGTCTGAAGTGGCAGGGTCAGGAGGTCGCAGATGACAACATGGCAGCTGTGCTATCTTCCACGCGGCCCCTCGGTCCAGAGCGGCATGAAGCAGAGGCTGTTTCCCAGGAGGAAGTGACCCGTGTCTGAAGGGGTGCTCTGTTGTCCAATGAGAGGACGGCTGAAGCCTGGCACTGCTACCTGCTAGGGCCACGCTGCTCCTTTCCTCTGACAGAGAACAGAGGAGGAAGAAGGCGTGACCAGGAAACTCATCATCTGCATCCGAACGTGGTCGCTGAAAGATGGAAGCCAGGAAGACACACACAAAAACAAAGAGGTGATGAATGAGAAAACCAATCAGATCTAGAAAAACAAACAGTGAACAAGCAAAAGTAGGAGAAGTAAAGGAAGGATTTATTGTACTGAGAACAATCAGCTGGCAAGATGAAAAGGTCTGTGTGCCTAGGTGTTATTCAGACCCGTAGGCACTAATGATATGTCTCTTCGGACCCACAGATGCCATTCCCTGCATTCCTGATCTCCAAGCTGTCTTTGTACATACCAAACCATCCCCACAGTGGCTCCAATGGGTAATTACACTGCACTCAGGGTATAGCTATAGAAAATATCTCTGCATACTTTCAAAGTTCTGGAAATGCCTCTGTCTCATTTAAGTCTCTCATTTGTTCCCCGACAGGAAATGAAAGCATTCTTCCCTTCACTATGAATGACACCAATAACTTAGTGATATCAAAATCAGTACCTCTTCACAGATTCACCTCATTTTTTTGACACTTCTTTTACACACTAACACATTACATGTCTATATAATGAAACTAATGTGTATCTCTGTTTCCCACTACTATAATGAGGATACATGATGGACAGACGCACATATGTGATATTAGATCATCTTTAACCTGAAAAATATGGATGGGAGCTAGAGCAAGTGAGTCTGCTATATTTTTGACTCATTCCCATGTGTAAATGGGAAAATGGGAAACTAAATGTCTATTTTTTCTCTTCTTTTTTCTGCAGGAAGACTGTTGATATTTGAACTCAATTGCCAAACATATAGGCTATACTTGTCCCTTCAGTGCTCCCTCAGTAGCTCTGTCACCCAAATTTCAAATCTCTGAGGTTTTTCCAGCGTTGAAACTCCTTCACCCTTGCCTATCATCTCTTCATCTTCACAGGGCCTAGAGTGTGTCCGGTACTTTCGAATATGCCGGTGTATAGAACTCTCTCTCCCACTGCCCCCACCAGTCCTGTCCATAAGCACTAACGTCACCTGTTGCTGATTGGCAAGGTCCACACCGCTTTCTTTGTCATTCATTTACAGAGCCAGGGCTGTGCAGGAAAACTGGATACTTTTTTAGAGCGCACACACAAAATGGAGAAATAGCAAACTGTAAGGAAATATTTGCTGACTTTAACCTAAAGTGTATTGTATTGGATTACAATCACTTACTATACCTACCTAAGTCCATATTTACAGAAGAGTCTACATGTAAAATGTGATTACACATACTTTCCTACCTCACACAACTATATGAGTTCAGTTTGAAGAATACAGGTAATAAGAGAAATAGTAATAAAGTTGAACAGAAATGTGTCTCTTTATGGCAAAACAAAGAACATACCACATACCATTTACAGTAATATAGTAAATGTTATAGTATAGTATAGTATGCCAAGTATTGTTGGTAGAAATAACTGTTGCAAAATGGAGCAAAATAGCAAGATGCACAAAAACATTTTTACAGAACATCAATGGAAGTCTACAGGAAGAGGTGACATCATTTCTAACCCCTCTTTAACTGTAATCACAAATACATGGTTTAGTGTATATTGTAGTTTAACACAGTTGCAGGGCCCAAGAGCTCCTAAAACAAAAGAAAGTGCTGTGATATTAAAAGTAAGAGATACAAAATCTGACTAAAAATAAAATCGGTGAATGTGACCTGTGCACTGTATAGTCTTGTTGACTATGGCTAAACACTTGCATGAAGTTGTATGAACAGAGAAAAATGTAATTTTAAATAAACAACCGTGATGCTCAGTTTAGTTTAGTTTTTGTGGACCAAACCTTTATATTTTTATTCTGTTATTTACCGGCCCATTTATCCCATGCCTCCAAAACACATGGGCTTTGCAAGGTCAAACAAAGCAAAACGTGTGTTGTAAGAGTATAAAGAATAAAGTGTTATTGCTGCTTTGGACCAGGCGTGCAAGCTAAAGTAGGGTATGAAACTATGATGAGGTTTGAAGCGACGTCTGCTGATCTTCTTCAGATCTCCTGCAGCAGGTTGGTTGGAAAAAAGCCGATCTTCCGTCCTGTGCTGACCTTCAGGTAGGCGTTTACCTCCTCACCCTTCTTCACCACAATCTGATGACACACACAACAACCACACTTAGACTTTTGCAAGTGTAGGTAATACAACAATGTGTTTGTGTATGTGTCTGTTTGTGTTTCTACACCTATGAGCATCAGCTGTGCACACAGCAATACAAAGAAACAGAAAGACTATTAGATTAATATTTCAAGTTCGCATTTGTTTATTTTTGTGTGTGGGAAATAAGACTGGGATTAGTTTTATATATAGTGGAGACATTTATGGTTTGGTTATATAATCATGTGTCTGCCTAGGAGTGCATGTGCACGTGTGCATGTGTGTTAACCTGGTCTTTCTTTAGAGTGATTTGGCCCATCTCTCTGTTGCCAACAAAAGAGCGTGTCACCTTGTAGACCCTCTCTCCTGCGCGCACTCGGATGATGTAGTTGGCTGGTATGAAGCCCGTTCTCTCTCTGATCTTCCCCTGGTGGAGCAAAAGCTTTAACAGTGAGCTGCAGATTCTTTCAAAAATGAAAAGACTGTCCATTGTAGCATTGAAACCTGAGTGACTGACAATAAAATAGTTGGATGGATCATTGACAGAGGGCAGTACAGAAACCAACTATTGTATTATATAGTAGACACTGATAGCTATCATTCATAAAGAAAATGCCTCTACAAACCAAGACAGTGGTCATTTTCTGCATTTTGTTTACAGCGGGTCAGTTCAAAACATTGCAGGGAGTAATGGAACAAAAAGGAACAGCCACAGTGAGCTAGCTGTTAGATAAAGCGCTGTGTGTATGTGTGTGTGAGCATCAACTGTCCTCACAGCCATAGAAAGAAACACTATGACACATTTCAAGTTCTAAATTCTTTATTTTGGTGTGTTGGAGATAAGACTGGGAATCATATATAGTGGAGACATTTATGGTCTCCCCTATATAAACCAAAGGTGACAGACTGCACACCTCCAACTTCTCAGCAAGGTAACCTACTCCTTTCACCGTGCCCTGCTGTTCGCAGACTCATGCGTGTGCAGCATAAAATCAGATCACGGTTGTTCACAGAATGATGGGAAAAGGCTAATTACTGCCTGACTTTGTTAAAACGACAACAGTTTGTTTGTTGCCCCCCAGAATTTTGTGACCTGTGGTATTAAACCACATTTGCTCTTACCACCAACAGCTATCACTAAACCAATCAGGACATAAATCTGAAGGATTGACACTTTAAAGAAAAGGGAAATACTGTAACATTTTGCGCTGGAGTTCAGAGGCTGCAAATGATTAGTACAAATGATTAGACCTGGAACTCAGAGCTTTTTAAACAAAGGATCACTGTAAATTACAAGCTCAACACTGACGATCAGCTCACTGACTTGCAAAGCTGCAGCTCTACATTATCTTTGATTGTCAATTGACTTCACAGCTACATAAATATTCAACACCATGCTCCAAAGTAGCCGACTTGGAAATCACAGGAGTTGGATCTTCCTTCCCTCCAGCACGTGGACACAGCTTAATTGTTAGGAGACAAAATAATCAACTAATGGCAAAAGAAATCCCAGACCTAGATCACGACCTAAATTTACTTAATCGATCCTCAAGCCATCTGGATGTCTGTTCATAAAAAATGTCATAACTTCTGTAGAGCAGACATGATTGAAAACATCACCACGAATAATATGAGACAACAAATCTAGGACTCACCCTCCACCATTCCTCATTGGAGTCATCTATCACTGTGATACGGTCACCAGCACTTGGGAATAAACAGTATTTTAGAGAGTAAGAGTATTTTAAGGGGAAATATTAAATAATGACAAAATCAAGTTCTGACTGCAGTCAGAAGGAACGAGAGTATGAAAAACTGAAAGAGGCACACTGAGAGAGATTAGACAAGGTGTGGAGAGGGACTTACTGAACATCCAGATCATCTTTCTCTATGGCTTTGAAGCGGTACAGTGCCAGATAGTAGTGAGACTGACTGAACACGCCGATCTTCCCTGGCTGAAGCTTTTTACTCTGATAAACACAAACACACAAAGCACATCATTGACTTAACATCACCAGTCATTAAGAAAGTATCTTCATCAAGGTTGGTACTTCACATTATTCAAAATCGCCTTATTTTCAATGAGTTCGTCATTATCATCGCTGTTACCACTACTGTCAACAACAGTGAGTTTATTATATTTTCATCACCATCATCATCATCATCTCTGACCTTGTCATCTGCAGGAGTCTTGTCTCCTCTCTTATCTCCTTCTGTGTTTGCTGGTACACAACACAATAAAAATTAGTCAAACAAAAACAAAATTGTTCACCTTCACATATTGTATACCTCCATTAAGGAATATTTGAAAGTATTTCTGCTGCTGTGCCCATCCCCCCAAAACTTGCTGGTGCTGGATCAAAAGACAAACAGAAGGCAAAGAGTCAGGGAGAGCGATATACAAGGAAGGTAACAAAGGTCCCCAGCTGGACTCGAACCTGCAACATGCTGTTGATGCACTTGTCAAACACTATTGGATCTCTACCCTGTTCAGCACGCACTTACCTCCTTCACCTCCTCCATCCTCCTGTTTGGGCTGGGACTCATCATCGTCCATCATCATCATCATCTGTTTGGATAATTTAGGATAAACAATAGTTAAACATTTATATAGAACTTTCAGCAACACATTTAATAACTGAACTGTGCTTTAATTATCAGATTAAATTAAAAAAAAAATACATTTAAATTGAACATTTAAAAAGACGATTGTAGTAATCAACCTGATGACCTAAAGTCTTCCTACAGTTGGGGCTAGAGTTACCAACATACTGTACATAAAGTACTGTGCAAGAGTTTTAGGCAGGTGTGGGAAAAAATGCTGTAAAGAAAGAATGCTTTCAACAATAAACATGTGTTATATTTATGAATTACCATAATGCAATGTAAATGAACAGAAGAAAAAAATAGAAAATATATATATACTTCACCATGTGTCCAGATATCTGTGTGCTGTATGTGTGTAAGTGTTTTTTAGTGCTCACATTCTTCTTGTCGTCGGACCCTTTTTTACGCTCCTTGTTGGCCATGATCACACCAATACGCAGCGTCTCAAACACAGGGTCAGTGCGGTTTGACTGTGCTGTCAATCAAACGTCATCAATCAATAAACAGAGAAAACATGAATGCAGTTGAGTATGTATGATGTATGATGCTTTGGCAATATTGTTGTTACACATTCATGCCAATAAAGCTAATTTGAATTGAGTGAGACCTACTGTCCAGCTCTAACAAGAGGTATTTAAATTTGATCTTTACTTTACTGTAATTGCAGTGGAAAACTGAAAAACAGGACTGATGTTATTGTTGATGTTGTTCCTACAGTCTTGGATGGTTATAGTTGGTTTGTGAACCTTTTCTTAAGACTAAACAGCCAATGTTTTCATCTGTGATGGTAAATGGTGACAATTGATTAGACACCTAATCTATTACTGGGACTTCTTACAACATAAAGTCTCTTTCAGTTTAGTTCAGAGCTTTTGCACATACTGCATTTGACCAAGAAAAAAAGCTGAGAGTTAAAAGTGAAAAACTGGACAGCAAAGACCAACATTTAAACAATTAAACATTATATTTATAAAATTAACTTTCCATTATGTTCATTGTCCATCTATGTATATGTAACATATATGCTTATTTCGTGACAAGATTACGAACTGAAACTCAACATCTGGAAGGTAAATATATTTTTTTTAAGTTGTAGCATATTTTTACAAAAAAAACTGACCAACATTAAGACAATTAATGGTTAATTTGGTTTTAGGACGGAATCTGTCTTCATGTAGAAAACTATACATGAGTTGGACTCACAAAAGGGCAGCAGCTGTGAAACTGTGGCATTCTGCTGACTGCTGTAGAGAGGAGAACTGTAGGCTCGTCTGAATCCTGGAGGCTAAAAGAGGAGAGCAATATGTACAAAAATTCTCTGTTGTGCTTTTTAAAATTAAAGCCAGTAGTGCTTTGTAACTTGAAGCTCACAATTTTGCCAAAACACCTCTGGAACTCGACATAGGACTGACACTGGTGGTGGATGCTGGTTTTGCAGTTCTTACATCGCAATGCAAACTTATTGTTTACTAAAGAGAAAAAACAAAATAATGTAAAATTACATGCATTACATTCATAAAGATGCACTGAACTTATTTTGTAGTGCAGGAAACAAAAAGAGATAAAATAGACGTACAAACTATCATGCGCGCACAGACGTCACAAAATTTTGGTTTCTTGCAGTAGTGGTCCTTGAACTTGTGGGGTCGGTCGTTGACTGGTTTGACGGGTTCTGAAGGACGGGATTCCTCTTTCTCTTCCTCTTCCACCTCCTCATCATAAATGAAATATACCTGGGGATAGGTGAGTTTCAAAAGCACAACAGAGCAGAATTAAAATGACTCATACATCTACAGTCTTCCAACAGCTGGAAGACAAAAAACAAGAAGCAACTTAGATTGGGCGTGAGAGTAGAGAAAGGTCAACAATGGTGTATATCACAATTTTATCTACCAGTTTGTTTTTGATCCCATTTCGGGATTCCATTGAATCTTCTGTTTGCCTCTTTATTTAACCCTAACAGTCCCACCCACAGCCTGACAGATTTATTAGAATGTTTCTATTAATACTGAACCACCCTGCGATCTGAGTCATATCCATCTGGTGTTCACAAGTAAACTGTATCATATCAGCCAGAGCCAGAGCCATGAATGATGAATGATGCCATCAAACACACACACGTGTCAAGACTACTACATGTCTGTTAACATTTTCATCTTGGGATTCATAAACTGAGTTTACAAAGTAATTCTGACTGTTACTGGCAGTTTTCATGCACGCACGCAAGCACGCGTGTGTGTGTGTGTGTGTGTGTGTGTGTGTGTGTGCATGCGTGCACACACACCACAGGTGGGATAGACTGAAAAGGCTTAGATCTCAAAATAACCTTCAACAGAGACCATCAGTATTCCCAACTGAATGCAACAAAGCTTGACATTGCTACTCCTAAATATACTACAGTCTAGTCAAACAGAGCCATAAGGATGTCACACGCACATTCACAGATTTGCACGCACACACACTCAGAGGGACACCTGACAGACTGAACTGGCTCCGACTCTCCATCATTGGCAGGATTAGAGGTGCCCTGCGGCCGTCAGGCTGTGGATTTACACTACAGTAACTGATAATAGCAGGGACAGTTCACACATTACAGCACCATCACTCTGCAACTCCATTTGGCTGTCAGGATTCCTAAACAAACCTTCCACAATGCCTCAGTACATTCATCAGCTTTTAGTTGACTCATTTAAACCCACTTTGGCAGTTGTTCAAAAATAAAAAGAGCAGAAAAACAGGTGATGTGATATACATAAATTCTATGTCAAGTATTAAAAAGTGTGAGGGGATAAGATGTTAGGCTGAATGAATACAAATCAATATATGTTAAAGGCTTAGTTCACCTGTATTCCCAAAATACATCCTCAAGAGATTTTTTTTTCTTTTACTCCTACTCACAAACGTGAGAATAAAAGCTATTTATCAAATTACTTTTGACTTAAAAATAAAAAACTCGACACGTTTTAGAGAGATTATACAAAATATAATTGACTTTAATGTGTTATGGTTGATGACAAATTAGCTTATTTTATTTCCATTTCAGCCAATTTCCTATTTTAAATATATGATTGTATTATTATTATTAATTTTCTGCATGACCAGATACCGCTGGAGGTGCCAGAGAACATGTGGTGTTTTATTTTGTTATTTGGGTAAACAGACGCTTTTATAACCAGTAATTCCTACAAAACATGAGCTCCAACGTTGATCACAGTCATGACATGAATATTTCCTAAGGTAACACTTTTTGTTCAGAGCTACTTAGCACGAATGAATCAGTTTTCAGGATGTTTGGCTTGTAAACAACCCCTTGATGTGTGTGCCACAAAGTAAGTGGATATTGGATGTCTCACCGTGTTGTCCTCCTCTTTCACCACATTATCAGGGAGAGGTGGGTTGTCATGAATATCCAGAGAGTCCTTGTCATCCAACCTGTCATCGTCGGGAAGCAAATGTCAAAGTGGGAAGCAAATGTTGGAATGCAAAAGACAAATTGTGACTCAGATTTCTCATGCCGGTGTGGGTCCTGCTGTATCAATGTCTGCCTCACATAATACTCTTTAATTTTTTCCAGCTGTGCACTTCCAGTCATTTGGTCGGAAGATTATTTTCTGATATTGCAAGATTCTTAAATCTGTTAAACCATTAGAAAAAAACATCAACAAACCTGGCCTTAAAAGTACGGACAAACTTAGCAATTATTTGTAATTTGTGAATGAATTATCTACATATGGAAACTTGTTCGTTACTTTCCTGGTCCCGTCTGCAGACTGAACTTACGAGTCATAATGAGCCATGGTGTTGGTTGGACAGTCAAGGTTTTATTCCCCCCAGATATATAGAGTCTGGACCAGGAGATGGCACTGTAGACAGAAAACACGTGAGCATCAATTCTCCAAAGAGATTCCCAAAAAGTGTCCTCTGAAATCCCTTTAGGTATCTTATAATACAGCAACTCCCTTCTGCTCGACTTACAAATAATGACCAAATAGTAACCTTAGATCTGTCAGTATTGTTCACAAAGTTCACATATTTATAATTACTTCATAGGTCTTCTCACTGTGTTTGGTATTACTTTAGTTATCAGTGAACAATGTAGAGCTAACACTGAGGTCTGTTCCTGGGAGGCAACTTGATCTTAGCTAAGTTAAACAGGATTCACTTGTAACATGGTAGAAGATATATGGCAAACGGATTTACAGAGGGTCCCCCCCCCCCAGTTTCTCTGCATGTTAGAATAAATGTTAAGGAAACAAACAAGAAAATAATTAGTAAGATGTTAAAAAGTGATTACGGGAGGGTAGATCATTATTCTGGATGTACATTTATGCAAAAGCTGTCAACTGACCGTGAAACTTGTAATCCACTTCAAGCCCTTACACACTTTGTGCCGTCAGGAGCGAAACTCTGGAGCTTGAATCTTCTTCGGACACTTTCTGGCTTTTTCTGCGAGCTCTGTTGTCCAGTCCTTTGCATGTTCAACTTAGTAAATGAGACTCCAACAGGTGGGAGATTGGGATGAGAAATGCCTGCATGCCAACCCAGCCCAGCCCTCAGTTTGGTGTGTGTGTGTGTGTGTGTGTGTGTGTGTGTGTGTGTGTGTGTGTGTGTGTGTGTGTGTGTGTGTGTGTACATGTGACTGTTTGGGACAGCTGAGAACTTTAAATGCTGAGAAGCTCTCCCAGCTGAAGGGTTAAAAAAACCTAGAGTGCCCAGCTTCTGCTTCCTCACTCAGCAAAGTTAAGATTATTATCACACACACAAACAATTTGTGGACTTTGTCAGTTGTTTGTTTTGGGATTTTAAATATATCATCACCAGAAGATGAACATTACATTCAGTGAAGCACTGTGAATAAAATGTTTAGTTAAATTAACCTGTTTAAATCACAAAATGTCCATTTTCACACAGAACGTATCACACAAACTTTTATACGCAAGAGCCTCTTCCATGAATGTAAGTTGAGCTGCGTTCCAGTAACAACTCAAAAGTTCACACTTAACTTGTTTAAACATAATCCACAATCTGTGGAGCAATGGAAACAAAGGTTAAAAGAGGCAAACTGACTGGAGTACATATTACAGCTAGATTGCAAATGAGATGGATACTTGGATCCTTAATGCATCATAGGTCTGGATACAAAATAGGTGGGTTTAAAATGCAAATGGGTTACAAATGAAAGGAAAAACAAACATGAAGTGTCTTAGTATGGACAGTCAAAGACATCACTAAAAAGATGAAGATGAAAGTTTATATTATATCATCTGGTCTCATGGAGATGGCAGTGGAGCGCATTGCCATAAATATTGGCCCAAAATATTATGTAGGTGTTAAACTGGGTTTGATATGTGATGACTGTAAAGGCCATATAATTTTATTTACATCACTTTAAAATTCACCAAACAATTCAGTGAGCCCTGGTGCACAGAAACATCTGCGTTTGATATGTTTCTCCACTCCTTTATTCAGGTTTTAATTTGTCCCCCACCTGTATGTTTAAGGCTACTCTTGGCATGGCTTGATTCTTGTTAGGGAACTGAAAATACTATATGCACATATTTAAGTGTATGTGAGATTGTGATTCTGGGCTCCTTATGGCCACTGGCTGTGGGGGTTTTTAAATGTGCTTTGTGTTTATACAGCACAAGTGTGTATGTATGTGCAGAAGTCAGCAGAGTGTTAAATTATTTGTGAGACTTGAGTCAAGCTTTAAAATCTGTTCTTTCAATAAAAACATTTAAGAAAAGGGTGTGCGCCCTTGGCCTAGATGTGTACTATGTAACTGAAAACTTCTCTGGTCTGATTCCAGCCAAGCATCTCTATTGCATGTCATTCCTGTTGCTCTGTCCCCATGTTTTCTGACTAAAAACATGGATTAATGGTACATTATACAGCCCAAGGCATTTTAACCAAGTCTCACTTCTTAAAAACAAGGAACTGTAAGCAGACATGAGGTCTTTCTAAGTGTTTACTCATGTAGTTATCTACAATTTTGAGCATCCATAGTCACTATATAAAATGTCTTCAGGAGTTATACTGTAATGTTTGATGATATATGTGTGTTGTATGTGTTATAAACTTGCTTATGTTTTTTTAAAATTTACGTTTATGCGTGTTTGTGCGTGTTAGAATGGAACAGAACCACCAGATTCTGAACACTGTCAGTCATCACTTTGTTCCATCACTCAGAATGCAGTCAGAGAATCTTCACAGAAAATCCTCATTTCTGTCCTGGACTTTGAACTGAGAACATTTCAGCCACACAGACAATTTATCACTTTAACTCAAGAAAGTATGGTCAATATATGGAAAGAAATGAAAGAAGTAGAGAGGAAGAAAGAAAGTCTGAAGATGTCTCAACATAAAAAGGTATAGATTTACAAATTAAATCAAGTATCAAGGGTATTTTCCAGGTTACATTACATTTCTACTCCAGTTCACTCCAGCTACATTTTAAAGGGGAATTTGTACTTTTTACTGCACTATTTTACAGCTTTAGTTACTTTTAAGATTAAGAGTTTACATACAAAACAAATTACCAGTATGATGCATTTTTTTTAGAATAAACCAAACAACTCTATGTGTAGAAGTTAAAATGTAAATATCCAACAGCTTACAACTTTAGTGCATCCCTAACAATGATCTAATAATATAATAAAGGAACATTGGCAAGGGCCACTCTGTGACTTATTAGTTTTATATATTTATTAATATTTTAACATGCCGCAGTAGTGTGTTTTGGTTAATGGGAATCTAAAAATGGAACCATATGGTAAAGTCTGACACTATGCATGCAAGGGATAGGAGATACTGTACTGAACGGACTCTGCTTTAACAGTTGCAACAGTTATACTGACTTTGCAAACATACTTTTCTGTTAATTAGCAGTGATTTTGCTATAAACGATGACTGCACGTGTCACAAAATAATTTTATAATAATGATAATAACTTTGATCTATCTTCTTCATCAGCGAATGAAGATGGCTCACTATGGGACTTCAGTCACATGATAACACGTGTTATAAATCGTAAAAAAAAAAAAGACTTCACAGTAGTTTAGAGATGAGTTGTTTAAAACAGAGAAAATGGAGTGTAGTAAAGTCAGTTGGTGTTCATTTGTGAGTGTAGGACAGCTGGTGTTGACAGCTGTATTTTTATTAATTAAAACTGTGTAGTGTATCTGTTCAACAGACTGGAGTGAAGTTAAATTATCTTTTGCTTCTCTAAAAATTAAATAAAGTATTATATTGATGAGATCATATCAATTGGGAAAAGCAGAAGAAAGAAATTAAGCAAAAAGTGAACAAATGAGAGAGATGTAATTTTTAATAGCTTGCGTAACATTTTATGTGTAGGAGATGGATGAATAGAAATTGATCTGGGAAACTGACTACAAACAATAAAATTAACAATTGTGCAGTGATATGTAGTTATCACAATGTTATACAATGCTCCACTAGTGCATTGTGATAGCAACAGGAGAACAATTAGAAGCTCAATCTTAACATTTTACCACTGTATGATTTTTTCCCCAATAGAATGAAAATACCAGACAACGCCCTCTGGATCCAGTTAAAATGGAGAATGAGGCAGAAAGTGTCAAAGATAAAGAGACAGGGTCAACATCAAGACTCTCTAACATCAGGGAAAGCGATGAGACGGATTCCTCTGCTTCCTCAGCCACATCAGTAACCTCCGAGATTGCTAGCATGTTCGTCGAGGAGATACTGGACCAGGCCATGGGAAATATTAATGAACTAATGCAATCTATATCCAGGTGGGAAGCCGAGGAACAACCAAAGTCAGAGGCTGATGACAAATCCTCAGCGGCTTGTTGTTCTCGGCAGTTGCAAAGATTTTTTAGCCTCCGGAGAGTATTTGCCGAGCACCAAGGACAGACACAGGAAGTCACCCAGGAAGACATGGTTTCCAAGATGTTTTCAACACCAGGAACTGTGGCAGAGGCTGTTACACCAAAAGGTGTCATGGAGATATTCAAGAAGGACAACCTGGTCACAGCTATAGACTCTTCTCAGGAGGATGAAGACGTCTGTAAGTCCTCTCCGACTGTCAGTACACAGGGGCCTTGTGATTCTGACAGGACAGAGGAGAAATCTTCTGACAGACATGGCAGCAAGATGTATAAGAAGATCAAGTCTGTATTGAGGCGCAGCTTCCGATGGAGACAAAAGAAAAAGGACCACCTCGAAGAAAAACAAGATTTGGATGAGGCTAGTGGGTCAGACAGCAGTGACAAGGAAGCTGGCTCTCCATGTCCTGAAGAGAAATCTCCAACTGATTCAATGCGCTCCAGTGAGGACCTCAGGGATGCAACAAAAGCAGACCTAAGTTCTGCCCCCCTGGAACGGTTGGGTGTGGATGAAGAGGATGTCATGCCAGAAAAGAAACCATCAAAACCCTCCTCAAAACTATCTACCACCAGCTCATCACCACCAGCAGAGCATCGCAAGGAGAGGTCTCCAGTCACAGAGAAAGACCTGTACAGAGACTCCACCCCAGGAACTGTGGCAGATAAGGATGTCACACCCAAGGGTGTCATGGAGTCATTCATTGAGTACAACCTGGTCACAGAAATGGATGTAACATCTAAAGACATTCATTTGACAAGACCAGGATCTCCATTTCTTAGAGAGATGTCCTTCACTAAGATGGATTCACCTTCTCAGGAGGATGACAAAGATGGCTGTAAGTCCTCTCCGACTGTCAGTACACAGGGGCCTTGTGATTCTGACAGGACAGAGGGGAAATCTGCTGACAGACATGGCAGCAAGATGTATAAGAAGATCAAGTCCATATGGAAGCACAGCTTCAGATCGAGACAAAAGAAAAAGGACCACCTCGAAGAAAAACAAGATTTGGATGAGGCTGGTGGTTCAGACAGTTCAGACAGCAGTGACATGAAACCTGGCTCTCCACGTCCTGAAGAGAAATCTCCCACTGGCTCAATGTGTTCCAGTGAGGACATCAGGGATGCAACAAAAGCAGACCTCTACTCAGTTACTCTGGAACAGGTGGATAAGGTGGATGAGGATGTCCCTCCAGAAGAGAAACCATCAAAACTCTCTTCAAAACCATCCATCACCAGCTCATCACCACCATCAGAGCATCACACAGAGAGGTCTTCGGTCACAGAGAAAGACCTGTACAGGGACTCCACCCCAGGAACTGTGGCAGATAAGGATGTCACACCCAAGGGTCTCTCGCAGTCATTTATTGAGGACAACCTGGTCACAGAAATGGATGCAACATCTAAAGACATTCATTTGGCAAGACCAGGATCTCCATTTCTTAGAGAGATGTCCTTCACTAAGATGGATTCACCTTCTCAGGAGGATGACAAAGACGTCTGTAAGTCCTCTCCAACTGTCAGTACACAAGGGTCTTGTGATTCTGAAAGGACAAAGGAGAAATCTGCTGACAGACATGGCAGCAAGATGTATAAGAAGATCAAGTCCATATGGAAGCACAGCTTCAGATCGAGACAAAAGAAAATGGACCACCTCGAAACAGACCCAGATTTGGATGAGACTGGTGGGTCAGACAGTAGTGACTTGAAATCTGTCTCTCCACGTCCTGAAGAGAAATCTCCCACTGGCTCAATGTGTTCCAGTGAGGACATCAGGGATGCAACAAAATCAGACCTATGCTCAGTTCCTCTGGAATGGGTGGATGAGGATGTCGCTCCAGAAGAGAAGCCATCAAAACTCTCTTCAAAACCATCCATTACCAGCTCATCACCACCAGCAGAGCATCACACAGAGAAGTCTTCAGTCACAGACAAGGACCTGTACAGGGACTCCACCCCAGGAACTGTGGCAGATAAGGATGTCACACCCAAGGGTCTCACGAAGTCATTTATTGAGGACAACCTGGTCACAGAAATGGATGCAAAATCTAAAGACATTCATTTGACAAGACCAGGATCTCCATTTCTTAGAGAGATGTCCTTCACTAAGATGGATTCACCTTCTCAGGAGGATGACAAAGATGGCTGTAAGTCCTCTCCAACTGTCAGTACACAGGGGCCTTGTGATTCTGACAGGACAGAGGGGAAATCTGCTGACAGACATGGCAGCAAGATGTATAAGAAGATCAAGTCCATATGGAAGCACAGCTTCAGATCGAGACAAAAGAAAATGGACCACCTCGAAGAACAAGATTCAGATGAGGCTGGTGGTTCAGACAGTTCAGACAGCAGTGACATGAAACCTGGCTCTCCACGTCCTGAAGAGAAATCTCCCACTGGCTCAATGTGTTCCAGTGAGGACATCAGGGATGCAACAAAAGCAGACCTCTACTCAGTTACTCTGGAACTGGTGGATGTGGAGGATGAGGATGTCGCTCCAGAAGAGAAGCCATCAAAACCTTCCTCAAAACCATCCACCACCAGCTCATCACCACCAGCAGAGCATCACACAGAGTGGTCTTCAGTCACAGAGAAAGACCTGTACAGGGACTCCACCCCAGGAACTGTGGCAGATAAGGATGTGATACCCGAGGGTGTCACGCAGTCATTTATTGAGGACAACCTGGTCACAGAAATGGATGCAAAATCTAAAGACATTCATTTGGCAAGACCAGGATCTCCATTTCTTAGAGAGATGTCCTTCACTAAGATGGATTCACCTTCTCAGGAGGATGACAAAGATGGCTGTAAGTCCTCTCCGACTGTCAGTACACAGGGGCCTTGTGATTCTGACAGGAAAGAGGAGAAATCTTCTGACAGACATGGCAGCAAGATGTATAAGAAGATCAAGTCCATATGGAAGCACAGCTTCAGATCGAGACAAAAGAAAATGGACCACCTCGAAACAGACCCAGATTTGGATGAGACTGGTGGGTCAGACAGTAATGACTTGAAATCTGGCTCTCCACGTCCTGAAGAGAAATCTCCCACTGGCTCAATGTGTTCCAGTGAGGACATCAGGGATGCAACAAAAGCAGACCAACGCTCAGTTCCTCTGGAACAGGTGGATAAGGTGGATGAGGATGTCCCTCCAGAAGAGAAGCCATCAAAACTCTCTTCAAAACCATCCATCACCAGCTCATCACCACCAGCAGAGCATCACACAGAGAAGTCTTCAGTCACAGACAAGGACCTGTACAGAGACTCAACCACAGGAACTGTGGCAGATAAGGAAGTCACACACGAGGGTGTCACAAAGTCATTTATTGAGGACAACCTGGTCACAGAAATGGATGCAACATCTAAAGACATTCATTTGGTAAGACCAGGATCTCCATTTCTTAGGGAGATGTCCTTCATCAAGATGGATTCACCTTCTCAGGAGGATGACAAAGATGGCTGTAAGTCCTCTCCGACTGTCAGTACACAGGGGCCTTGTGATTCTGACAGGACAGAGGAGAAATCTTCTGACAGACATGGCAGCAAGATGTATAAGAAGATCAAGTCCATATGGAAGCACAGCTTCAGATCGAGACAAAAGAAAATGGACCACCTCGAAGAACAAGATTCAGTTGAGGCTGGTAGTTCAGACAGTTCAGACAGCAGTGACAGGAAACCTGGCTCTCCACGTCCTGAAGAGAAATCTCCCACTGGCTCATTGTGTTCCAGTGAGGACATCAGGGATGCAACAAAAGCAGACCAACGCTCAGTTCCTCTGGAACAGGTGGATAAGGTGGATGAGGATGTCCCTCCAGAAGAGAAGCCATCAAAACTCTCTTCAAAACCATCCATCACCAGCTCATCACCACCAGCAGAGCATCACACAGAGAAGTCTTCAGTCACAGACAAGGACCTGTACAGAGACTCAACCACAGGAACTGTGGCAGATAAGGAAGTCACACACGAGGGTGTCACAAAGTCATTTATTGAGGACAACCTGGTCACAGAAATGGATGCAAAATCTAAAGACATTCATTTGGTAAGACCAGGATCTCCATTTCTTAGGGAGATGTCCTTCATCAAGATGGATTCACCTTCTCAGGAGGATGACAAAGACGTCTGTAAGTCCTCTCCGACTGTCAGTACACAGGGGCCTTGTGATTCTGACAGGACAGAAGAGAAATCTTCTGACAGACATGGCAGCAAGATGTATAAGAAGATCATGTCCATATGGAAGCACAGCTTCAGATCGAGACAAAAGAAAATGGACCACCTCGAAGAACAAGATTCAGTTGAGGCTGGTGGTTCAGACAGTCCAGACAGCAGTGACAGGAAACCTGGCTCTCCACATCCTGAAGAGAAATCTCCCACTGGCTCATTGTGTTCCAGTGAGGACATCAGGGATGCAACAAAAGCAGACCAACGCTCAGTTCCTCTGGAACAGGTGGATAAGGTGGATGAGGATGTCCCTCCAGAAGAGAAGCCATCAAAACTCTCTTCAAAACCATCCATCACCAGCTCATCACCACCAGCAGAGCATCACACAGAGAAGTCTTCAGTCACAGACAAGGACCTGTACAGAGACTCAACCACAGGAACTGTGGCAGATAAGGAAGTCACACACGAGGGTGTCACAAAGTCATTTATTGAGGACAACCTGGTCACAGAAATGGATGCAACATCTAAAGACATTCATTTGGTAAGACCAGGATCTCCATTTCTTAGGGAGATGTCCTTCATCAAGATGGATTCACCTTCTCAGGAGGATGACAAAGACGTCTGTAAGTCCTCTCCGACTGTCAGTACACAGGGGCCTTGTGATTCTGACAGGACAGAAGAGAAATCTGCTGACAGACATGGCAGCAAGATGTATAAGAAGATCATGTCCATATGGAAGCACAGCTTCAGATGGAGACAAAAGAAAACAGGCCCCCTCGAAGAACAAGATTCAGTTCAGGCTGGTAGTTCAGACAGTTCAGACAGCAGTGACATGAAACCTGGCTCTCCACGTCCTGAAGAGAAATCTCCCACTGGCTCAATGTGTTCCAGTGAGGACATCAGGGATGCAACAAAAGCAGACCAACGCTCAGTTCCTCTGGAACTGGTGGATGTGGAGGATGAGGATGTCGCTCCAGAAGAGAAGCCATCAAAACCCTCCTCAAAACCATCCATCACCAGCTCATCACCACCAGCAGAGCATCACACAGAGTGGTCTTCAGTCACAGAGAAAGACCTGTACAGGGACTCAACCCCAGGAACTGTGGCAAATAAGGATGTCACACCCAAGGTTTTCATGGAGTCAATCAATGACAACAACCTGGTCACAGAAATGGATGCAACATCTAAAGACACTCACTTGACAAAACCAGGATCTCGATTTCCTGATGACACGTCTCCCACTGCCTTAATGTGCTGTAGGGAGGACATAAGGGATACGACAAAAGCAGACCTAAGCTCTGTCCCTCTGGAACTTGTGGATGTTGGGGATGAGGACATCACACAAGTAGATCATGACGAAGAAAGGTCTTCAGACACAAAACCATCCACCACCAGCTCAGAAACAGAGAAAGACCTGTACAAAGACTATTTTAAAGGTTCTCAAGGGGACAGCAGCGCAGCAGCAGAAGCTCAGCTCACTGGCCTGAAAAACACCTTGTACACCATAATCAAGGGATTCTTTGACAATTTTACTGAAAGGTAGGTCATCTAACTTTCCCACTGAAACTCAGTTGAATAATATTGTGACATATGTTGTGAAAATTTTTGTTTTTGTGTTTTAACTTCGTTTCAACTTCGTTTTTAAGGCAGCGGAGCGAAATGAGCAACGGTGTTTATAACATGGACGTGAAGAAGAAACTGGTTGACTTTGGTACAGAGGTTATCAGGCTCATAATAGAGGCGATCACCAATATGCTATCAAAACCCATTGATGAATTTCCTCCTCCATACAATATGACTAAGAGAGGTTCTGCCTTTTCCCCTGTATGTGGGACAGAGACTGTTGGTCAGAACTTGCCCTTAGAGCATTTCTGGGAGAATGTGACAGGACAGGATAACATCCAGCAGAGTTTGAAAGGTTCCTTTGGCGAGGCTTTCACGTTGGCCATTGTGAAATCGATCACAGATGAAGTCAACCCTGTTTTGTCAGAGACGATACAAGCCTCACTGGCTGGAGGAACTTCCAATGTCCATGCAGCTACCTGCTGCCAGTTCTCAACTTGTGGAGCATGCAAGGAGATGTTGGCAGGAGTTACCCAGGTAATGAATTCTTTCCTCACAGGTCTAGGTACTGCAAGTAAGAAGACAATTCAGACTGAAAGGACACAGAAACACTCAGGTCATGAGACTAAAGATGACAGAGTGGCCAGTGCACATCACAAAAAAGTCCACATGAAGAAATCACCATGTTGGAGCTTTGGGCGGAAATGGCGGAAGAATAAGGTCCAGCCAGAGGCTCATCTGGAGGAGGAAGTCACAGATTACCGAGATAGCCCACTGCTGTTCGAAACGCAGAACAAGGTGAGAAGCTCTTCTTGTTGCAGGCCAGTGACTCTGCATGTGATGGGAACCGTCAGTGATGTTGGGACAAACTGCTTCTGACACTGATGTCAATGAGATCCAGGCTGAGAAAAGCAACACATCTTTTTACTGATAAAATTGATTACTCTTACTTAATGAAAGTAGTGTATGAGGAACTTTTGCTTGCAATAGAAGGTTTTCTCATTGTAGTACTAAATTTAGTCTTTGATTGTTTTGTTTTACTTAAGAATTTGAGTGCATTCACCAGTGATTGTGACATGAAACATCTTCAGAGCCAAACACATTCAGTTGGCCTCAACATTGCTTGGTTGGCAAATTCATTTTTTTAGCTTTGTACTTACCTTGTTGTTTTGTTTAAATTATCTTAAAAGGACAAGAAGGCGTTATCTCAAGATCAGGCTGTCCAGGCCAAAAGGCCTTCTTTGCTAAAGAGATTCCAGCTGTTCTATGCTCCTTCAATGAAGATGTGACAAACGAGTGACACCCTTCCACCCTACTTAACCAACCCCAAACCCTACTCTATTGCCTCTCGCTATTCCCCTTCCCTCCCTTTTTGCTCCACTCTGACCTCTCCTAACAAGCAGCACAGTGGTTCAGTGGTTTACACTGTTGCCACACATGTTCTCACTGTGTGCATGGGTTTTCTCTGGGTGCTCCGGTTTTCCCCAACAATCAAAAACATGTATGTTAATTCTCCTTCATTAGATTTTCCAACTCTCCTAACCTTCCCTCTAGTACCCAATCCCCCCCCCCCCCCCCCCTTCCCTCCATTCCATTCCCTTTTCCCGATCCCCATCCCCTTACCTTCTTTCTTCTACCCAATCATTTCCACCCTTGACTCCTCTCACTACTCATTTTCTTAATAAAATGCCTATAAATTAGTCTAATGTTATTTGTCTGGTTTGTAGTAAATTATCTGCTTGTTCTGGTGGTATGTTGGAAAGAACAGAAAAATTAGTTTAGATAATTTAACCTAAAAGCACATTAACAGAATTGTGTTCAGCTCCAACCATCAGTTTTATCAGATTTCAGACAAAAGGCTAAAAATACAGTATCCCTATTTAAAATCAAAATAATTTTTTTCTCTGGGGAGCATGAATGTGTTAGTACAGTCATATTATCGTCATATATTAAAGAAAAACCTGAATTAATGAGGGGAAACAAAGAGTGTAGATGCTCCCTTACAGGGCACAAGGAGCAACATTATTTTGAGTACAAAAATGTGAATTTTAGGCTATGGCCTTTGCAATGACCCAATTCTCAACCCAATTGAACACCTATGGAAGATTTTAGACTGAAATGTCAGAGATGTTTCTCCAACATCATCATCAAACCCAAATGAACGAATATCTTATACCAGGGATTTTCAAAGTTTGAGACTGCGGGCCTCCCTTCAGACAACGCTTGGGAAATGGCACCCCCCGACCACATCTTTAGTTAAGATGGTAAGTTTCGTTCAATTCCTGGATGCTTATGGGATCATGATTATATTATTTGATCCCGCAAAAAATGTCTGTCCTAAGGCATTTATTAGTTTCGGACTGATGGGGGGGAAAAACAGTTCCTAAAAACTACTGTATCTCTGAACTTTCACACATGTAGGTTATTCTATCTGATCTCCTTTTGATAGCTAATGCAATAAGTAATGTATATTGTTTCACTTCCATTCACTGAGCCTCCCCTGAAACTGTTTGGAGACCCCTAGGGAGGACTCACACTTTGAAAACCCCTGTCTTATACCAAATGAGTGCTGAAGCTGTTGCGGCGAGTAGACCAACACCTTACAGTACTAAGGCAAGTTTTTTTTTGCCACCTGTATATATGCAAAGTGGATTATAGCTCTGCGTAGCTCATACTTCAGAGTCAGCTTCAGTAAAGTCAAACAATGAACCACATGACACAGGTGTTTTGATAGATTTTTTCTCGACTTTTATATTTTTAAAAACAAACAAAAAATAACAGATTAAATAAAATTTACAGTAGACATATGCAATCATTGTGCACTTTAACTACTTCTTCTGATACGTTCTGCACAGCTGTCAACGAAAAACGCAAACACAACGGGGCGTCGGGGTGGAGCGGGGGGATGTGGGACAGTTGTGGGAGAGAGGAGAGGACCGAAGAAGTGAGGTAGAGGGCAGCAAGGAGGAAACAAATGTGGGGAAGAGGAGAGGGGGATGAAGAGGGAAGGAGTAAAGATAAAGGAAGGCCTAAACTTTTTCACTCAGGGGGAAAGAAAGAAAAATCACTGAATATATAGATTTCTTTTATTCCTTACATCACTTATATAAATATATTGAATCCCAAAAAACAAAAGAAAAAAATGTTTGAGAAAAAAACAGCGCAATACAGAAACCCACAACAGCAGTAAGGCAAACAGAAAGCAAGAGAGGAGAGAGCAGTGAGTGTATCTGAGAGGGACAGAGGAAGGATAGGATGCAGTATGAGACATGGCAAGAAAAGAGGGGGGAGCAGTGGGTGAAAGCAGAGAGTGTGCGCAACTGTGTGATGAAAATTTCTAAATATGTGAGATTAAGAGATGACTGGTTGATGGAGAGTTGAGGAAGGAGAGAAAACGTTGGCAGAAAAAGGAGGGCGGTTTGGAGAGCGGAGGGAGGAGGAGGAGGAAGAGGAGGAAAAAGTTTGACTGAGGTCGACTGTCCAGTGTGTTGTAATGTGCTACGTGACCCTGTTGCCTGCATTTGTGTCTGTTTGTGTCTCCTGGTATTTGTGTATGTGTGGCATTGCATGTGTTTTTTGTATAATGGCAGCACACATTCCTCGGCAACAGTGAAACACATGCTCGCGTGTCTTGTGTGCTCTTCTGCTATATAAATACAAAACAAAAACAATGAATAAAAACAAACAACAAAATCATATTTGCAACCGAACGCCAGCCACCTCATGATTCACACCTTCTTCCCTTTTATACATTTGACACATCATTTAACTCAAGGTTTGTTTTGTTTTTAAATTGTACACTAAGAGCAGTTCCCCCTCAGCCCTCCTTCCTTTTCCACCACTCCACCAAGAGTCTTTCTTTCTTTCTGTCTCTTTGACTTTGTTTCCCCCCATTCTCTTTTCCTTTCACTGAGAACTGGCTCTCTCCAGCACACGCAGGTCATAGTTCTTTTTGGCGGCCCTCAGTTTGAAGAGGCTGGCCCCGCTGTTGTTAAGTCTGAAGGAAGCACTCTGGGCAGCCATGGTGCTGGGGAACACCGCCACTACTGTGTAGAGGTGAGCTGGGTCGTTGCTGTCGCCCTTTGCTCCCCCAGCTCCCATGATGGCCCCGGACGCGGCAGTGACTCCTGGCCCAGGAGGCCCTGCACCTGGACAGGAGCCACAGCCTCCTGCTCCTCCTCGCCCTCCCTGGGGTTCCTTCAGCCACTGGATCTTGGCACCACACATCGACAGCTGGTTGAAGAGCTTTTCAGCCTCTGGACGCGATATCCCCTCTGGCAGGTCCGTTACCTCGAGTACTCGACTCACCACTGGACAAAGGAGAAACCAAGAGAGTCAGAGAGAGACATAAGATGCTAGCAGGCTTGATTGCTCAAGCTGTGTCTTTAGAGACTGAAGCACGTGTTCCAGAGACATGCTGTGTGTTTTCTCGTCTGTTTCAGCCAAAAACTTTTTGCAGTGTGCAGTGCTCTGGAGAATTAGGGTTTGCCAGCAGGATACTCCAAAGGAAATCCAATTTGGTGCACTTGAATGCAGTGGTGCAAGCGTGTCAGTTTACTCTCAGCAACTAAAGGTTTATTTAATGGCGCCCACACCAGATGGAGGAGATTGTGAGGAAAACTCTGCAATATAGGATGATGAAGACTGACTAAACTGATATAACCGAGACACTGCTGCCCTCTAGTATCTACTTTGTACACATACCTGAACAACACACTTTGCCATCCTTGTGATGCCATTGTGCTCAGAAGAGAATGAATTACCAATTATCTTGGAATTCTTGACAAGGATTAAATATTAGGTAGAGTTCTTTGAAAATACTAGACCACATGGGAGTGTGTAAAACAATACCTGCAGAAAAATGTTATGACAACACAGTGGATGGTAGTCTGTGATGACGAATCTCTTAACTTACCAACATCAGTGGTGCCAAGATCTGTTGATGCAGATTTGAGTGTTTGTTTCTTCCCTCGTGTCCCGTGTTTCATTACTCCTTGTCCCTGAACACATAGCAACACAGATATTTTGAAGCTTGTTATTAAAATGCAGTTCCACAAAATGACACTAGATGGGGGTAGAAGCAATCAAAGGGAGCCTTAAAGTTAGTCTTGGGTAACCAGAAACACAAACATTGGCAACATAGGGTGCACTAGTGGGCGCAAGAGAGGTGTTAAAGCCTGCAGCAGGGAGAGAATGATGGTCAGGTCAAAGTGTAATATGGCTGCCATTTAAAATGTATGCAACTTCATTAACTCTTGGTTACACACCATGCTACAAAGAAAGAGTTCAAACAGTCTCCACACAGCCCACATATTATGAATGTGACTTAAAGTTGGGACTGATCTCCAACTTCACAAAACATCTTCATTCGTAGAACCAAGAAATTCTGCAGGGACTACTAACAAATGCACAAACGCTTGTTACGGTTGTGATATTTTTATTTAAACATGTAGAAGGGCGTTTTTGAGTAGAAAAGACTGCTAGTACTGACCTGATGAGAGCTGTAGGAGGACTGGCCATGCATGAGGGGAGGAGGGCACAGGCTGTACTGGAGGGGCTGCCCCAACAGAGAGTAGCGTCCGTCACCTAAAGAACATAAATCACAAGTTAAAATGAAAAAGATGTCCTGCAAACACTTAATTTTAGAGTACCATTGCCATAGGTGAACCTTAATCACCCCACTTTCTTTTTCTTTATCAAACCAGATCTCACTGAGATTAACATCTCTTTTTCAAGAGGGACCTGGTCAAGAGGGCAGGATAAAGAGAGTTATAGCAATGAATACACTAACATACCGCAGTCAAAAAGGTGATGGAAGATTTAACGAGGGTTCATAGAATTGGCAAAGATTTTGCAATTTTATTTTATTCCAAACCATTAGAAATTGGTCAACTGATTTAATGTAGCTCACTACTTTTACTATTACAGTATTTTTTCATTTTGGTGTTTTGAAGACTATTCAGAAAAGACCTTTGTCTTGGTGATACAACATGGATCACAGACTGATGTAAGACTGTATTTTTGTGTGTAATCGTGCATTCCAAATAGCAGGTCTATTTGTCAGTGAAGGTGTTGTGGTTCAGTGTGCACATATCGGTCAAAGGACAGGGACGAGGTTAAAGCCATGTCTGGGTACAGGAGGTTTGACCGGGCCAGTCATGTAAACCTGCTGACATGAGGTGAAATGATTATGCCTATTGGCTCAGGGACAAAAGCTACCTGACAAGGTTTAGAGGGTCGCTGTGGAAATGGGAGAAAGAGTCCGAGCAGGGGTTCAAGCACACAGCTGTAACAGCAGTTCGTGTTTATTTGTCGGTCAACTAAAAGAAGAATTAGTTTTTTAAACAGCCTGGTTATTTTTATAGTTTGGACCATCATTTCTAATGGTTACGATAACACATTTGCAGAGATTTAGGGATGTGGTGACATGGCTAAGACGATCACACAGGTTGTATACAAACCTCCAATTTATCCATATTATCTAAACTTATTTAGTGGTAAAACCAAAAGCGGACACAACTGAAATGTTGGTTACAATCACAAGTAAAAGCAGACCTACTG